CCCCCAAAACCCCAAAACCCCAAAACCCCTCTCTTCCTTCTCAAAATTGAACCTTATCCTTACTCAAGTGTAAATACTTTCGTCTGAATAGGCATATACCTATCCTTCCAAGCCTCATTCTCTCCATGGTCATACTTTTCAGACTCTATTGTCCTGACAGTTACTTCTAGTCTATCCCTCTTCTTAGAGCCCACTTCCGGTCTCCTTGTCTTTACCTATACCTCATCTATTCACCCACTTAGGATTACTAGCGGCTCTGGAGACAAAATTTTAACTGAGATTTAGCAATATAAATAAAAATTCAGAGATTCTTTAGGGGCAAAATTCAGAGCAATGAAAGAAGGAAGTCAGAGCTTTGAGAGAAGAGTTACCTTAATAGGGATATGGTGGCGGGTTTTGGTTGAAGAGCTAAATTTAAGAGTGATGAAATGACATATGGTGTTGGTTATGAGCTGGATTAGTTTCAAGAGATCATTTAGTATGGATGAATGCTGTTTATTGAATGGTAAAAATTCTATTGAAAGCTTTAGAAATTTAAGGTTGCTTTGTTTTAGAAAACTATAGATTTACTTCATTGATAGGTCAGGCATAATATGGTCATTAATTGTAAAGCTCTTGTAAGGATTATGAGAGCTAAATGCCTTAAGTGTCGTATTCCTTTGATGAGATCGCTTCTTCAAGTTCACCTTTTTGAACAGCTCTATTAATTTCTTTGTTTTTAATTTAAAATATCTTCCACTTGAACTTTTACTCTCCCTCGATTTCTTTGGACAAGCCTAATTAGGATAATCAAAATAATGAGTAATAATCATTCCTAACATCTTTTTTACTCCTGAAAACTTACAGATCGATTCTTCTGAATGCTCGGAATTGTTTTACTAGTTTTCATACCATCGACATCTACCAAAAACATTCACAAACACACAAATGTAACAATTACGTATAATTCTGTGTCTGATCCCAGCATTCTCAAACTTAATAAGTACACTTCTCTTGCCCAATGCTTGCTTATTTGTTCTATATTACTTAAATTCACTCTTTGGGGACAGGTACAGAATTATTGCTTGCAAGCTGTTTTAAAGGGAGTTTTAGAAGAGATTTAGGTGAATTCTGACCTTTTTTGTGTGGGTAGGGTAGATTGGTGGGTTGTTTGGGAGGGATTTGGGATTGAGGGGTTTGAAAGGGTCTTTTTGTGGGGTTTAAATGGGGTTTTGGGAGGAGTAGGGCTTTAAATGTGGGATTTGGAGGGTACTGAGGGTACTTTTGGAGTGGGGTTTTGGGGGGTTGGATGGGTTTGAAGAGGGGTTGATTTTGATGGTTGGATTGGTTGGGATTTTATGGAGGGTGAAAGTAGGTTTAGAAGGGTTCTGAAGATGTTTATAAGGCATTTTGAGTAAAATGGAAGTGTTTTTGGACCTAGATCTGGGTTTGGAACTTGAGTGATGAATTTTTTCAACTGAGTTGTGGGTTTTAGTTTGAGAATTTTCTGCGGGTGCATTAGCAGTAGAAGTTCAGCGTCGAGATTTATTTTAGTAAAGTTACATGAATTGAAGGATTCTTATTTAAGGGCTTTGTGGGGATCGATAATTTGGGTCTTTCTCCACAATGCTTAGGTTTTAAATCAAGAAATCATTCAAGGTCCTTATTCATAAACTTTTCCTGAAGTTCTCGGCTACTCTTATTCCCCCTAAAGCTCACTTCCAAACTCCTACGTCAATAAATAAAACTTTGGCCTCCTCTGCATCCTTTCCTTCCCCTCTCCCTCCTCATTCTTCCTCTCCTCATAAGGTTTAGTCCACCCCTTTCTCATATTCAATTTATTTTATACCAAATGGGGTTTTGGGGTTTTGGGGTTTTGGGGG